TTATGATCCCTTCCATTTTGGTTAGCACAGTAGATCCTGCTTGGTGTTAACAAAAAATGTGGTTGATATGTCTGTTTGTTTTATAATTTGTGCATATTTGCCCAAAAACTGTCACGTGAAAAAAAGAGGCGAGCAAATACATGAAAATCGAATGTGCTGTTTTGGATAACCCTCTTAATTTGTGGTTTTATAATATAGTACTCTCTTAATTTGTGGTTTTATAATATAGTACTTGAAGATGACAGTAACGGTCATCTCTTACAAAGAAAGAGAGAAAGTTTCACCTTGGAACAAAAATTAAATTAAAATGTATACCTACTAGTAAATAAATTCAGCCATTTAAGGACTCGCTGAACAGATTTGGTGTAAGTTTCTGTTAAAAGTTTGTAATGTGTTAATTCTCGTGTACAAGGAAGTGTGTGTGTGTGTCTATATATATATATATATATATATATATATATGGAATAAAATGAGTCTGTTTCTTCTGGTTCTTGACATGCACGATTCGTGACAGACATCATTGGTGGTTCTTGATCGAGTATTGAGTCTCGTTTGCTATGAAAATGATACATACATATACATATATATATATATAATCCTTTCTGTTAATTAGATCTAGTGCTTGAATATCACAGTGCGCAACGAATAAGATTACAAAATAATAAGAATATTATTAAATAAACAAAAATGCTGAATCAATTACAAAATTCAAAAAGACTACATTGTGACTGATTTGTTTATCATACTAAACTACAACCTCTATTTATAGAGATTCAAAACGTAAGAAACCCGCTAGGCCTAAATCGTAAACTAACAAGCAAAATTCAAATATTAAAATAAACTTAAATTCTAATATTTTTTAACACCCCATCAAATTCATGGCAGTACATGACATGAGTTTAACAACCGACGATGTAGATGCAAGCTATGTTATGCTAATTGATCTGTCGTGATATAAATTGATGGAATGGAAACTTGAAAAGTTGGAACTTTGAAATTTTTTTATTTCAAATATACAACAATCTATATAATGACGGAAAAGGATCCTTGTCATATTCTTTTCCTAGGGATCCTAGAGATCATGTGATCATGATCGTTTATCGTACACCGTATGGTCAGAAATCATTTCAAAATTCAAATTTTAAAATTAAATATAAATAGTACCTAACGAAGACTGATCGCATGATATACAATGAACAATCATGGGATCCCTAGAATCATGGGGCCTAGAAAAAGGATCCGAGGAGGATCCTTTTCCCTCAAAGAATTCAATCAGAAAACCAGAACTTAAAAACCAACCAGTACTTTTTCTCCTTGCCCGTATGGGCCTAAAAAACCAGCAAATTTTTTTCTTTCATTTTTTCTCTTTTTTTTTGTCTTTTGTTTCTTCCTTCATTCCGACTTTCTTCAATTTGGGCAAAACCAATTGCAGCAAACAAAACAACTTCTGCACAGTCAAACTGCAGAAGGGGACTTCATACGGGTTGTGAGTCAAGATGCGGATCAAGCGCAGATGTAGATGAAGGTGGGGACGCGGCTGGTGGGATGGATCCACTTGCGGAAACGGTGCGGGATATGGGTCATGTGCAGGAGTACGGGGACAAGAACAAACAACGAATAATATGAACAACGAACAATTACAACTTTCACGATGAATCTAATCTGGAACAATCAAATAGCAGAAGACAGACAACAAACTGACGAGAAGAGGGCAGATTAAATCCCCAAAAGTCAAAACTACTCTGATACAAGTTAAATATCATTAAATAATAAAAATATTGTTAAATAATCAATAATGTCTAAACAGTTACAAAATTCAAAAAAACTATATTATGACTGATTTGTTTATCATACGAAACTACAAGATCTATTCATAGAGAATCAAAACCTAAAAAACCGTAACTCAGATGGATTAAACCCAAATTCCAAACTAACAAGCAAAACCTAAATATTAGAATAAACTTAAATACTAATATTTTCCAACAATAATATCAAGTAAACTCAATCAAATTCCATTGAAAAATATTAGAATAAACTTAAATACTAATACTATCCAACCATAACGTCAAGTAAATTGAATCAAATTTCCTTGAAAGATGTTAAAATAAGCTTAAATACTAATATTTTCCAACAATAACATCAAGTAAACTGAATCAAGTTCCATTGAAAATTGAAAGTGTGCAGTGAGCCAGTGTGCAGTGGGTGAAGCCCAGCAAGCAACAGGCTTGTTGGTTTGCCAAGGACTTGAGAACAAGGCCCAGCATGGCTCCAGGCCTGCTGGATTGGGTTGGGGCTGCAGGCCCGTGTGGAACCCTACCCACGTTGAAGTCTGGTTGTCTATGCATGTGCAGCAAGCCCAATGGGTTGCTGCCCGTGGTGGTTTAAACGTCAAACGACGTTGTCCCAAGGCTGCAGGCTAGCCGACGTGTCACGGGGCCAGAGGCAGCGCGGCTTGGAGCTACGGCTCGACCGTTAAAAAAAAAATCCCAATTTTAATTTTTTTTTTCAACTCTATGCATGAAAAACCCTAATTGATTCTAGTTTCTTTCAATTCTTTGACTTATAAATTCTACATATAAAAAATTGTGTAATGCACGAAACGTGTGTATGTGTGTGTGTATATATATATCAAAAGGTAAATGTAAATGTAAATGTAGGGAATTCATGAATCAGAGGGACTGTTTTTATACTTTATGGTCGTTTCAAATATCTTCCTTTATTTTAAGCGTACCTAATTGGCCAAAAACGACAAAATCCTTTGAATTTGTAGAAGATCTTTCCTGGAAAGCCGAAATTGCATATCCAATGCGTTGTAACAAATTCAACTAAGAAAAATTAAATTGAATCAATAGCATGTAGATTAATTCAATAAAATAATAAATTAATCATAAAAAGGAATGATTAAAATGTAATACTCTCCTGATTGAAGATTAAACTTTCTTTAACGCAGCGTCAAGAGCGTGATGATAACGTGATATAAGCCTATTTTAATGAACAATTATAAAAGACATAAAGGGGGTGGCCGCCGGCACAAAGACGGAGTAGAGAGAGATTTAATTGTGAGATGTGTGTTATTTCACCCCATTGTGTCTTTATTTATAGTAGTAGGAAGGTACCCCAATATAATTACAACTCTAGTAGGATAATATCTAAAGTCTAATATATGATAGAATTCCATGATGATATCCTTAAATATGTTAGGATTTATATAATCACATCCGTATATTAAATATGACTGCAACACTATAAAATTTATTTGACTTGTTTGATAAAAAAAAAAAAAATTAATAGCCAATTAGAGTATTGGTAAAAGAATTAATAATTATCAACTGAAAACGATTAAATAAGAAGTAGGGGAAACTTGATATAAGTCCAATTTTTTAAGCCAATTGTAGGAATAGTCCAGTTTATTAAAATAAGTCCAATTTGTTATATTTAATTATTTAATTATCAATAGTTATCTGTTCAATGATAAGATTTATTATAAAAATCAAATTTCTTCCCAATTATCTCTTTGCTTATTTCTTTTTATTTATCTTTTTGTTATTTCTTGTTCTTCCTTCTACTTTAAACCCCATTTATAGATTTTATTTTTAATTTTTATAATCAACCTATATCACAGGTTAATTATATTTATCTACCTATATGACAGATTCTTTTTTTATAATCAACCTGTCACAGATTAATGTGTCTTACTTGTAGGTATGTTATGTTTTTTCTACATTTTAATTAGGTTTCATATCTCACGTATAGGTATTATATACATTCATATATTTGTTACTTGAGTTAGGGTAGAATGTTTTGTAGATAAATTTATGTTAGTATATTAGTTTTTTTGTTATAAGATATTAAATATATTCTTTTGGAGTTGGAAAATGCATAATATTAGAAGATTTTAATTGATTTTTAATATTTTTAGAAAATATAAAATGAGTATAAAAGAAATAAAAACAAATAATTAGATAACTGGACTCACTCCTAAAAACACTCTACATTTTTGGACCTGGATCTAAAAGCCCCTAAGAAGTAATATAAAATTTAATGAAATCAATCACTATTTTTAGCTCATAATTATCATATTTAATATCTTTTTGAAATACAGGTCTTCACAATCTATCCACCTTAAAAGAAATTTCATTCTCGAAATTTGGAGGATCTTACTCCTTGTACAGTTAAGATACTCAAGGAATAGATATGTCAAAAACGTAAGCTCTTACTCATTGTATACTTAAAAGAAGAAAAGTTCCGAGTATGTATGTGCTCGTCCAAAAGTTCCGAGTAAGTATATCAAAGTGTAATATCTTACTCCTTAATCTCATCATTTTAACATCCTTTTGGTATCTACTTAAACACTACTGGATCGAGACTAAGATAATACCAAAGACTGCGAATTTCCATACCTAACTCTAGCGTACTTCACCTACATACCTACATAGGGCTGTTTGATCCCAAATCTTATTCATACCAAAGACTAAGATAATACCAAATATATTGATTATTATATTTCATCAAATTAATTTCGACCCTCACTGGGTATAATTGAATCCTCAAGTTGAGGAAGGGATGAGATTCCATAAAAATAACAATAAATTAAAGGTGCTTTTGTTATATTAGACTATTTGAGATTGGACTAGATTCATAGACTAAGTTGGAGTGACTTAAAATAAACTAAGTTGGACTCAGTTAGTAAAGCATTTAGTGCAGTATCGAACCAAGCTGAACTAGCTATTGTAAATTTTACATCTTTTTCAAGTTTTATGGAATTCATCTGTCGTGATATAAATCAATGGAATTGAAACTTGAAAAGTTTGAATTTTGATAAAATAAAATAAAAATAATAATAATCGTATAATCTAAAAGGTCTTAAAAATGAGGCATAAGATTCTAGGTTTTTCAATTTTTTTTAATTTCAAATATACAACAATTTATATAATGACAAAAAGTCAGGTTCATTGGAAATTTTATACTGATTTGAAAGAAATCTGATGTCACGTGCACACCCAAAAGTCCCAATCGCAATCTACAGCGAAGCTAGTCCATTTTTCTATTCAATTATTCAATTTTATTTGCTTTTCAAATTTAATCACTTTCCTCTCTCTCTCTGTTCTCCGGCCAAATCCAAAAACCCTAACGAGCTCTGATCATTCATCTGCAAGTTCGGCAGAAGCCCACTGAATTTTGTGAAGATTTTCGGGTCCATTGTTATTGTTTTGGATAAAATTTGTGATTTGCAAAGCATGAAAGAAGGGAAATCAGTAAAATTGAACGGTCAGCAGCAGCAGCCGCAGCCGCCGCAGCACCAGAACGGTCACTTGTCGCCGTTCAAATTCGCCAAGTTGTTGGATCCGGAAGCTTCCTGGGACAAGGTACTCCAACTTCCCGAGATAGTACGATATGTTTGGTTCCCGAGAAAGTATGATATGTTTGGTTGCCGAGAAAGTTTGATAGAAAACGAACTAGAAAAAGAAGTTTGAATCTTGGGTATCTATTGAAGCATTGGAATTTACAATGTGTTTCTGAAATTTTGGAATTGAAGGCCAATATTGAAACGGTCAAATTTATTGAGTGTAACGAGCTGAAAATTAATAAAATTCTGCATTGGTTAATATTTCTCATGGCTAACTTGAATGATTTACTTTGTGTGTGTGTGCGTGTGTGTGTGCAGGATCAATTGGGAGATGTCTTGCATTGGATTCGACAAGCAATTGCCCTCGCATGTGGGCTACTGTGGGGTGCAATACCATTGGTCGGAGGCATATGGTTCGTCATGTAAGTTGATGGTTGGACACCTTCTTAATTGCTTGTCATAGTTACCATTTACGCTTAATCATCCTATGTTTGTGTTGCTAATCAGTGATCAGCTCATTTAACTTGAGGATCATTAGGAACCCATCAAAGCAAATCTTGGCAAGGAATTTGCCCAAATGTAACATTGTTTGCTTAGTGTTAAGATATCTGTAGTAATGGGACTTAAAACTCGTTTGGGACTGCCCAATATTTGGATCATAAAACATATGAGTAAGTATGCTGAAACTTAGATTCTCTAGGTTGTCGGTGTTACTTTCAAGACTTCAGGAATCCTATTTAATCATAGGGGTGTAGAACTTCAGCTTCTCGTCATTGCCTAGAATCTTAATGGCCCATATGAACACTGGAGCATTATAATTTTAGAAGGTTTCTTTCCAAATCAACATATTAAATGAAGAGTTACCTTAGTGAGTTCAACTGTAAAGCTGGAGCGTTCATCGAATTGTTTCTGCAATATTGTATACCTCAACTTTAGGGGGACTTAGTGCAGACTGTTTTCTATTTACTGTACCAACTTGATAGGTTTACGCAGGCATGTAATACTATTTAGATTCACACAGACAACTTATCTCTTAGTTTCAGGCCAAGAGAGAAGAAGATATGCCTGAGTTGGATGTCCTTGCCTCCCACCTACGTGTTTGAGAAATATGATTTGATGGTTTTGAGTTTTCTCTTATTTATCATATGCTTCACCATCTTAAGATAACAATTTTCTTTTTCTCCAAACTAGTGTCATATATTTTCTTAATCTTTATGTGGTGGACTTCTTTTTTTTTCACAGTTTTTTGGTAATATCAACTGGAATTATATATGGCTACTACGCAATGGTACTAAAGGTTGACGAAGAAGACTTTGGTGGTCATGGAGCTCTCCTCCAAGAGGGGCTTTTCGCTTCCATAACTCTTTTTCTGGTATTTTTCAAACTTTTATTGCCTCTTTCACTTTGAGACTACCTTCTCAAATAAATTAAGATCAATGCGTTTCTTTTAGTCTCTTACCTTTTTCTCATTTCCGTTTCTTTCTGTTTTACAGCTTGCCTGGATTCTAGTATACAGCTTGGGACACTTCTGATTGGCTATCTATTCAATATCGCCGTCATTTCCATCCCCGGTGGTGTTCAGTTATAGGACTTTGGTTACGATGAGAAAGTTTCATTAGAAGTCATTAAGTCAGTACTGTTTGCTCGTTTCTTTATGTTAAGCAACATTATGAGTTGGTGAATCGGTGTTCCGGTCAATGTTCCTTCAAAAACGTTCACGCAATGTAGCAATGTATGGCATGCAGAACTGACAATCAAAATTGTTTTGGTAGCCTCTAATAAAATTACCTGCAATCATTGTTCTTGTAGATTTTGCTGACAATAATATGTGGTTGAGTAATTTGTAAGTGTGACACCGCACAGAGTACCGATTGCAGGCTTATATGTCGATACATTTTTCCCTATTTGAGTCCTGGGCCGTATTTCTCATCGAGTGGTTTTCTCATCGAATGACATTTCATGAAAAGCGGGAACACCTTTTGTGGTTAGTCCAAGAATTTGGATGCGAAACCTTTGGGAATCTTCATTTCAAAACAAATAAACTAAAGATATCACATTGTCAATTAAGAATTCACACCATCAATGATTTAAATCGATAGTTTGACAACGTAACATGTCTGATTGTATTCAAATTAAACATTTCCATAAAGTGAAACTGATACCGGCATATACCAAACGATCATATCAGAATGCAATACAAGAAGCTCAACTGTCCAATGACCCATGACAATAACTTGTGGGAAATACATCTCCTTGACATGGTGGGATGGGACGACTCTATTCAGGTAAATTTATTACATTATAATTTGGAAAAAAAATGAGGACTTGAAAGAATTGTCCTACCGTACATAAAGCTTCCAATACGCATTTGTACTTGGGATTTCAAAGACATTTATAGCCGTCTTTGGGGTTGGCTTCCGCCTACTCGCGAAACAAGGTAGATACGGCCATGTACCCATCTTCTACCGAGTGGTGAAATAGACTTCTGCACAAAAAAAAACCTCCAATGTGAGCAAAAAACATACTCAAAAGATTTCATTCTATAAAATGGCAACGGAACATGTATCTTTTTGAACTCCTTGTCCATTCAGTGTTCAGAGAGCCGATAAACATTTCAAAAAGATAAAAAAGAGGAAGTATTTAACAGAGCCAATGACTTGACCCGGGCAGTTTTAGCACCGTGAGAAAAGGGATAGGGGCACTTTGACAAGTGAGATAGTGAGGCCATTTGCTACAAAACCTCAAAACAACTACGGTACACGACGTGGCAAGAGCGATGCTATATATACCACATTTCTAATATATTTTACATAAGCAGGATCCACTTGTATAGGCCGGTCTCAGGTGGGTTTCACTTCCGTAAGAGATATGATTAGCAATGTGATAAGTAAATGTAGTTTAATTGATGTAATAAATTGTAAAGAATATTAAATCCGAGGATACTTTCCAGTCCTGTTTGGTTACCTTTTACAGAACCCCATTTACAGTAAAAGGTTCTTGGTGCGTATCTTTGTTAATATCCAGAATCCCTCAAATAAAATTTATGGAGTGCGAGAGAAGAAAACTAGGTTACCTCAACCTTGGTACGGAACTCTAACAAGCATTCACATACGTGACAATTTGCTCTATGCGGGGAGTTAGACTGATCGGATTTCACAAATGCAAACACCTGCAGAAAGATGCTATTCAAATCAGAAGAAGAAAATGGATGCCTCAAGGGTTATAAATTAAGAGTTGTTTGAAGTTCTCAGAATAAATCAACGGACCTCATCCCCACAATTTGGGCACGCCCCTTTTAGTGCCACCAAGTCATTTCTCCACAGGCCTTGAAGTACTTTAACTGTGAGAAAGGCAACTTTAGTATATGCTGAGATTTAACAATTATAACATCAAAAGTTATACAAATTCCTAATCAATATCCAATTTTCTCGATTTAACATAGAGTGCCCGCACAAGAATTTGACATCATAAATGCTTTAGAAATGAATGGATGCAGGTTAACTTACCAGAAGCTGATGCAATTGGGTAACCGATGACAGAACCCAGTATCATGAAGAGAATGGAATTCAGCATCGAAAGAGCAGGTGCTTGGTTTATATACGAAAATACTGGATTGAAAGCATCTTGATAAGCTAAGCCAACAGTGTAAACTACAGGCACAAGACACACTGAACTGCCAAAAGCAAGAAAGAGGATCCATATGCTCGCTAATGCAAAAACCTGTGAGAAATCTTCCTGCCCTACATCCATGTCACTCAATATTCAAGCAGAGAAAGAAAGATAGAACCCACTTTTCCATTTCACCAAATAAAATGCATCAAAGATGGTGCATTAACAACTACATTTTGGTTGACAAACTCACATTGCAATTAAATAACTGAGACGACTGTTAACCATTGATGTATTCCGCAGTGAGTCTAAAGTACATACATTAACGATGACAATCGTCCAAACAAGTGAGCTAACATAAAGTTTGCTCAGTAACACAATGATACGATTGTTAACCATTGATGTGTGCGAGTTTTGCGGTGAGTCCCATGCACATACATCAATGAAGACAATCCTCCATTCATGTATGGGGGTTCATGTACATACATCAGTGAACTAACATAAGGGTTGCTCATTAGGGAGACGATTGTAAACCATTCATGTATGAGGGTTCTGCAGTGAGTCTCATGCACATACATCAATGAAGACAATCCTCCATTCATGTATGGGGGTTCATGTACATACATCAGTGAACTAACATAAGGGTTGCTCATTAGGGAGACGATTGTAAACCATTCATGTATGAGGGTTCTGCAGTGAGTCTCAAGCACATACATTAGCGCTGACAATCATCCGAACACGTGAGTAACATATAGTTTGCTCATTAACAAAATGAATGACAAATTATCAAACCCATTTACCCCAACCCAACATCGATTCGAGCATAACCTTACTTTCATTTCCTCTTATCTTCCCATATTTTTTAGCAATATTCATGAATTAATGCAAAACTTCGAAACAACACTTCAAAAAACTCAACAAAAACCAATTACCTCAGCATCTGCATAAGTTGATTGTCTCCTAAGACTACAACGTGGGTATTTCACGACGCATTTCGATCCGTACCATCTTAGCTTCATCTGTTCTTCCAATCAGTTGCAAAATTTGTCAACAACAAAAAACAAAACTTAGAAGGAAAGAAAAAAAAAACATCGGCCTATCGAAAATCTATGAACTCATAAGTCACACATACATATATACATACCTCGACTCTATCAAACATGTCATCGACAATCAAAGGGTCGCCACTGTAATACGCATCACGTGCCTATCACGTGCACCACCAACCAATCAGATATCAAAATTTCACCCAAAAAGCAGAAATTTAAAGGTAAAAAAAAACCGAAAAGGGAAGAAGGGGATTACCTGACGGTAGAGGGCTTCAAGGGTTTCTTTGCTGGCGGTTTCGATCGGGCCGACGTAGATGCAGTAGGGGCCCTCGGAGAGATTATCGCGGGTCGTCGGGTAGTTACTGCCGGATGAGATTCGGACGGAGAACGGAGCTCCGGTGGATCTAGGGTTTCTGGCAAGTTCGGGGACTGTGGACCCCACCAGGTGTGGAGTGAAGGAGGCGCTCGTGGCCGCCATGAAATTGGAGTGTGGAAGGTGATGCTCTGAAGTACGCGGTTGAGAGAGAGAGAGAGAGTTTGGGCCACGGAAATGGTTTTGGCGGGTAAATATCTGGTTGGTTTGCTTGGCTCTGGTTCGGTGGTTTTGAGGTCCGAAAGTGGAGAGGATACTTTTCAAAGTGACGCAGTTTACACAAAGGAAAAAAAAAAAAAAATTTAAATTAAATGGAAAAAAAAAGTAATTGCGTTTGCCGGGAGTCGAACCCGGGTCTATTGCTTGGAAGGCAATTATCCTAACCGTTGGACTACAAACGCTTATCTACAAAGGGTTGCCTACTAATTCTATTTATCTAACTATTTAACTGAGTTTAAAATACATGCAAGTTAAGCACTTTTCACGTAATTATTTAATTAAGTTTAAAATACATGCCAGTTAAGCACTATGCACAAAGAGTATTTCCATGCACAACTTGAATTCCTTGCCCAATATATGATTAGTGAGAAGAAGTGTGGTTTAAGAAGCTTGACGTATAAAATGTATAGGGATTTGATGATGTGATCAAGATAAGTAAGATCACACTCGTTAATTTTGGCAAAAGGAAGATGGAGGCCTTTGCAACATAACTTCAACATGGGAGTTGTTTCACACTGAACAAGTCATTTCAAACTCCTTCTCTGTAAAAATACGAGCATTGTGAGAAGTGCATGATAACTATTTAGAAGTTCTGCTCTCAAAAATGTCTCAAAATATATAGAAGATGTATTGATCTTGTCAAATTACCAGTGATGAAAGAATTTCAAGGTTAAAGCTTAGTAATTCCGAACACCAATAAATTGTACGTGTGAGAGAAAAAGAACAAACTAGTTTACCTTTTCTTTGATTTGATTAAACTAGAGACTCTCATCTGCCTAGCTAAGGCAAGATTTAAAAATGTTGTCTCTCAAAGAAAGGATCCCACTCATGTTCCTCCACAGTCCCAAACAAATTGTACTTCCAACTCACTTTCTCTGCGTAATCGAAGCTTGTGTTCTTCCCTTCTCTCATGTCCTTCCTAATTGTTTCCACTCTCTCAAGAACCCCTTTAACCGCAATGTCGAATGCATCCTCCAGCGTCTCCAATCTGGAGCCTGGATCGGCGTATATCACTCTAGGAATCAGCTTCACAACCTCCTCTCTCATGTCGTAAACTTTCTGCCTCGGAATGTTATTGAGTATCCTCTCAATGCTCACCTTCCCTTTCTTTATGTCGAATGCTGGTATGAGGACTGAGTATTTGGTGTAGTCCTTGGGGAGATGCCATAGGTATTGAACGTACGCGGACCCTGGGTGGAAGAACACTGGAATGCAGCCTGCGAGGATTGAATCGAAGATTGATCTTCGGGTTAGAGAGTCCCCGGGAGGCTGCATGCAGAAGACGGAGCCTTGGAACATTTTCATGACAAAAACCGGCTTGTGGCACTTGTCCGGACCGGATGTGCATTCTAGGAGCTTGCATTTCCTCCTTGCTGCCTTGCATTGGTCTATGATTTCGTTGCGGATTGAGTTTTGGAGATTAGGCCTAGGGCCGCCAGCGAAGGAGAACAATATGCGCCGCTTCTGCCTCCTCATTCGGTTCTGCCATTGGAACACCTCAATGTCTTTTGAAGGGTGGAAGTATGTTGGATATGGTATGGCAAAGTCATTGCTGTTCCAAGGGCTGGATTCTATTGCCAACATTGTCATGTTTTTCGATTCGGGCAAAAGCATAAGCTTCGTTCCCCACTCTGAATCCTTGTCAGTCCATCTCCGAAAATCCCAAGTAATTCTTCCTGCCACCATAAAATGATCTCTCCCCCACATTTTCTTCCACTCTGGTTTTTCTGTCAGCCATTTCGCAATCTCAAGTGAACCAGAATCTCTCATGGAAATGCTCGATCCCCAAAGGTAGCGTGCGACGTCTAGGCCAGCGTAGTAAGGTACGAAAATGGCTGAAGCTAGGGATGAGTTTTTTGTCAAACAATTGTACTGCTTCATTCTGCTGTGAAATATGACCTCTAACAAGAACTGATTTGTAGCAAACCAACCAGTGTTTGAGTAAACTTTTTCAAAATTCGAAAGACGGGGACCAAGACCAAAGTTTGATGCGAGCTCACACATGTCAGTCCAATTGCTAAGCGAACCACATTTCTTCAAGAAGTCCTTGTTAAATTTGCTGGGGATGTCATGAACATAAATGTATTTACCTAAGCATGATTCAGAAACGGATTCCGAATCCGATTCAACCCTTTCAACCACATGTTCTTCTGGCTTAACGGCATCATCCCCTTTCTCGGATTGAGCTTTATTTTCGCTCAGATCGCGTGCTTGATCATTTCTGCCACGAGGCTCTGATTCCTTCTTAGAAAGGTGCCCAAATTTTTCAAAGCCATGTTCTGTGATTCCGAAAACATCTTTCGTTCTCAGATTAAAATCCCCACCACTTCGGTCATTGAAAACAATGTTCATATGAGCATCATCTCTAGATTTTCTGCTACTACTTTCATTGATTTCTTCGGGCAGAGAAACCGAATCAATGAGATCATCAGACTCACTAGCAACATCGACAGAAATGTTGATATTGTGATTACCTAACAATGCAATCAGGCTCTTTCCTACCATGAACTGCGAGTGGTATACACAAAGCAATAGAAACCAGATGAGGAATGAGGCACATACAAACCAGTATTGGTTGCGGCACACTGAAAATGTCACGAAAGGCCTTCCCATGTTGTCACGAAAGGCCCTCATTCGTAACCTTCTCCGATAAGCCGTCGTAATTGTCTACCTTCTGTAAATCTTGGATCAATGAGGATTAAGAAAACTCTATGGAACAGTGTGACAGGTGCAAGAAACAGAACCAACCCATGTGAGAAAAATGAGGAATATCAAAAGATTAATGGTGTTTTTGATTGAAAAAAGATGAATATTTGATGTGGAATTAGATGCATTTAGAGGCAAGAAAATGAAATGCAAGGGTTTGAAAAGGTTTGTATGTGTTTCAGCAGAAAAAGTTAATGTCCGGATTGCTTGGAAAGTGGATCGGAAGAGAGAAAGATTGAGATCTAATTGGGGACGTTGCTAAGCAATTATACATGACTCGATCACTTTCAGTAGCAATGCCTTTTCTTTTTGTCACATGCTACCACTGGCCGTTGGATCAAAACCTTGAACTCGATGGGTTTATTTCAAAAGTGATTATTAGTTTTTGCTACTAACAATTCAGAAAATGTCATTGTGTACTCTTTTAAATTAGTGCTGATAGGGGTGGGCATTGGATGGGTTTGTCGGGTTAGACTTCAACCCTAGGGGGTGGGTGTTCGGTGGGTTGGTCAGGTTAGACTTCCACCCTAGGAGGTGGGCATTGGGTGGGTTGGTCTGGTTAGACTTCAACCCCTTGACCAATCCAATACGCTTAAGTTGGTATTATTGGAACTAATTTCGACTCAACAAAATGGGCAAGCCAACCCACCCAAACTATTCTAAGGCAGGTTGGATTGGGCGAATTCCATAGGTTGGAATTATTTAGTTTCTTTCTTATTCCTAAGGTGAGTATGAATAAAAAGAGTCTAAAATACATGTCATATTAGCTTTAAATCATGTGAATTTAGTGTTATAGAATCATTACTTGTTACTTGATATTTAAATTCATTACTGAAATAAAGTAGAAACAAACAAGTGTGGTTATATGTATATGTATATATGTTTAAGAATTGTTGATATTATGGTGGGTCAGTCTCATGCGGGTTAATAATACTTCAACTCAACCTACTTGGTGAATGGGTGGTCGAATTGTGTGGTCGAAATTTTACTCAAAAATAAATATGTTAAGTTTACAACCTAGCCCAACTCAACCGAATAGCCCAACCTAACCAAATTCGGTTGAGTTGGTCGGTAAACCCACTAAAACGCCACCCTTAGATGCATACTCATATTGTGTTGAATTTGAGTGCACACTGAAAGTGTAATACATATTGTTACTACTCAATAAAAAACACATTTTCTTGAAAACCATTATATTTTAGTGAAAATCACTTCAAACTTAATATTTTAGCAAAATTACTTGGTTCAACAATATGTTTAGCGTTTAGTTAGTTCACCATTGGGCCCTTGTAGATTCATCAATATGACCAATTTTTCGAGAAAATTTAGTGTGTGCGAAATTAAAAAGCATGTGTGCTAATCATTATCACCAAATATATTATCATAAAATACACCAAACCGAATTAATTGGTCCTAGTTTTGGTTTGGTCGGTCCAAATTCAACACAACATGAACGAGTTTGAATTTATAACGGGTCACATGTAAGTTTGGTATAATTTTTTTTAATACAACAATATATTTACACTAAGAAATGGAGAAGTATAACACTAAATTATATTACTAAGTAACAAATTTAATATGATTTTAGAATACTACAGGACACTTACCCATCCATTTAGATCCAGCATTACCCTAACTTTTATGGCTCACGCCAACATTCCCCACTTGTATGAATGTTGCTAAGCAATTTTTCGACATCAAACGGAACTCCCCATAAGGTAATTTTAATGTGCCGATTTCCCCTCTTTTGCAATCAGCTTTGTTATAGCACCTGCTGCTCTAGTTAATTGTCCACCATTTCCAAGTGTGATTTCTATGTTATGTATGGCCATGCCTAAAAGCATATCAGTTGAAGTAGATTCTTATTTTTTTGATCAATGAAAACCCTTTCCAAACTGTACAAGCTTCTTTCGAAGCATACCTCTTTCTGAATGTAGATGATGATATCTATACAAATGGATCTTATATATATGTCGTATAATTCTTATATAGATATCATATAATAAAGTACCACATAAGTGGATATATAGGAATCAAAATATGTGATCGATTTCTAGGTTTCATCTGAAACCTAATTGGTTACTTCCAATTACGTAAATCAATAGTTCAAACCACACTCAAAGATATTCCCGGAGAATCTAGTTACAGGAGAACCAGGAAAGGAGAACTTTCCTCCTTTTTCTACCCCGACTCTTTAATCTTAAGAATGCTGATTTTAACTTTTAAGAATGAGTGATTGTTAGAAAATAATATCAAAATGGTTAATAACTGAATAGGTAACGCTTTTATATTTAAACTTTTACAATGACCAGCCAACATTTAATTTTATCGAAGTGGAGAACCAGAAAAGCCTAAACACATAGTACAAAACAGCAACCGAAGCACAAGAAAAATTAGTTAATCAAAGAAAATGACTGAAAAACCAACATGCATCAACATTAATCCAAACAATTAACACCACTACATATACTACAATATAAATCTAGCTACAGCATGCCGCTTAGACTACGGTCTAAGGTTCTAAAAGAATTTAGGTGTTAATTGGGCGGTAGACTGGAGCCTAGTGCATAGGCGGCTAGGCGGTTAGGCAGAACTTAGGTGGACTAGACAGATTTAAGTAAATCTATTATATTTTGTGTAAATAAGTGTCTATTTATATTTTAAATATATATAATTTCATCATAAAATACAAAATAGAATAACATATATATTATGAAGTATTGTAACATAATAAAAACATGGGGAATAAGGATACAATGTGTGTTCATTTAAGTATGCAACAAGTCTCTTACAATTTATGGAAAAAAAAAATGCAAAATGAAAGTTATCTATATTTTGTCTAAGTGAGTTGCGACCTAGGTGGGTCTGGACAGGTGCCTAGGCGGACGCCTCAGCAGGTTTATGCGTTATTTCTTAATTTTCAAATGTCTAGGCATTAATCGGGACGGTGACCAACCGCCTAACACCTAGGTGGGGCCTAGGCGGCGCTAGGCAGAGATTTTTAGAATAATGTTACAGTCTAGTGGTATTCCTCTAAAACCTATGCTGGCACTTCTGTTTTTTCTTCTTCCTTCAATTTGTTTTAACCTGCAATTCTGTGTTTTTTCTTCTTCTTTAACTTGCAGATGTTTAACCTAAGGTGGATATATGTCTTAATCTGCAGACAGAAACAAAGGATAAAATGATTTATACCAAACGGAGTCTTCAAGTCCAAGTACTTGTTTGGCAACGTGGTTTTGATTATTCCTAAACTTTCCTCGTTTGGTAGGGCAAGTAATTGCGTGTAGGGCAAATAATGGCGTGATTGGAAGGTTTTGGACATTGCTTTTACTAATGCGTTTTCTTAAAGTTTTCCATTTCCTTCTTTCTTCATAATTGTTCAATTAATCAAATTTTTGTGAAAAAAATTATGTTGCTAATGATTTAGCTCATTTGGATTTATCATGCAGTTTGTGTTCAGTCTTTTTTAGCAAACTCCTCATTCTTGTCGTTAATTGCTAGCTGTAGACATAACTGGAATCTCGTGCCTCGTGATATTCTTACATTGTTTTTTTTTTTTTGAGGCATATTCCTCTTTGTGAACCGGAAAAAAATAAATTCAATTAATCAAAATTTTGTTCAAGTAGTAGAACCACCTTAAAACCAAGAATCAATTTCTATATCCAAACACCTTTGGATAATTTTGGAATTTCCCAATCGACAAGTCATGAACTTATTACCGAATAAAAAGGTTTCTGTCATGTAATGAAATTAGTGTGTAAATTAAATAGGAGGTGAGAAGTGTCTTTAATCTTTTTGTGTCATTCTTATTTCTATTTCAAATTAACTCGTACAATTGACAAACACTAATTAGCTAATATGCAAGTCATCTTCAACAAAACCTTTTAATTTGTAAATGATTGTAAAATGAATTTTGTACTCAATACCATCAATAAATATAATGATTACAACAAAATAGACATAGAAAAAATCAATAACACACCAATACAAAACTAAAATTCTTGCTAAAAGAGACTCACGAATTCTCCTCTCTCTCTCTCTCTCTCTTTTTAATATTACAAATGACATTATTATTATGAGCTGTACTAAAAGGATGAGAGAATTTAAACCCGGAACGCATTAAGTTGAAAAAGAATGTTGTATTCACAATAACAATCTACCACTTAAAATCACGAATACTCTCTTGGCACATTATTGCTTGTGCCAAATAGGCTATTAAACAAATCTTGACAACAAATATAGAAATAGCAGAAAAAATTTACACAGGTCTTAAATAGCAAAATGGCAACAACAATTCTTGGTACCACAAGACAATCTGCATAATTGCAAAACTGGCGATGTAATTAACCAACTAATAAGAAAATCAAACAAGAACAAAAGAAGAAGGAAAGCAAAGTACAAAGACACAGATAACCAAGACTATACGTACCCAAAACAACAGTTTGTTCATAACTTGAAACCAAAGCAGATCCCACAATCACTTTCCAGAAAAATCCTAATCACAAAGCTAAAACTACTCACCATAAAGCTTTCACATTCCCCTCCAACTCAATAAACATAAATTATTTTTTAAAAGAACCCCAAAAAGTAGAAAAAAAAAGAGGCAAAATTCAAAACTCATTTCATTCAATTTTGTCCCACATTTTGATTTCGATGAGATTCGAATCAAAACCCAAATGGGATTTCTGGGTCTGAATCAAAATCCTTGATTGAAGACAATAAAACGAAAAAAGGGGAGATTTTTATGGAGAGAGGCCAATCTGCTGCGCCGAGCAGCTTAGAGATAAAGGTGGTGAGTCCACGGCGGAGCGACAACGTTGTGCACCAGGGGGGACAGCCTCCGGAGACGACGACTCCGCGGCGGTCGTTCAGTGACTACAACCCGTTGAAGAGGTGGGTGTCATGGCTGGTGCCGTCGATTGTGGTGGCCAACATTGTGGTTTTTGTGGTGACCATGTTCGTGAACGATTGCCCCAAGAACTCCGACACTTGCATTGGTCGGTTCCTTGGCCGCCTCTCTTTTCAGCCCTTCAAGGAAAACCCACTTCTTGGGCCGTCTTCAACCACGTAAAGCTTCAATCTTTTATGAGTTTCTATTTGTTTAAATTTGTTGGGGTTTGCAGTTTTGGATTGAAATTTGTGTTTTGGGATTTGTTGGGTGCTTGCATGTGGAAATTTGAAAATTTTAGTTGTGGATTTTGGGGAACTGACGCAGTGGCGGCAATCAATGTAGTTTTGGGGAACTACATGAAGCTTGATGTAATTCTGCTTTTAATCAATGTTGGACTTGGGAAAGTGAATATAGAAGCGAATCTACGATTAGTTGAGAAAAAGGAGCTTGACGGGTAATGAGGGTTTTGGGTATTTAGTGACATTCAAGCAATGCTTGATGTCTATTTGATGTCGGCATAATGCTTGAGCAAAGAAGAAGGTGCCCGAAGGGCTGCAAGTAGTGAACTACTTGGTTTGATTAGATTGCTATGTTAATCAAAATGTCCACTGTAATGTGTTACAGGATTAAAGTTTTATATCAGTGTTAGTTTCAAAATTTTCGTTCAACTTTCCTTGCTCTGTGAGGCCAATGGTAGAATGATTATGGAAAAATGAAATTGTTTTGTCTTAATATCTCTGGTAATAGCAGGTATGCATTCTTCAAGGACTTGTTTGTCATTCTATTAAGCTATTTAATGTGCTCATTTCAGTATGCATCATCCAAAGTCTATAACTGCTAAAAGTAGCACTACAAGGGCGAGGGAGCTATCATCTGTTTGGAAATACGAGCTATAGACATGCCCCATTAGGGTCAATAGGTCTCAGTTGCATATCTAACTTGTTTCTCATGTGTTTTCATCCTGAAGATTAGAAAAGATGGGTGCTCTAGACGCGCAGAAAGTGGTTCATCAACACCAGGGATGGCGGCTGATCTCTTGTATGTGGTTACATGCTGGAGTTTTCCATGTGCTTGCCAACATGCTCAGTCTTGTATTCATTGGAATTCGGCTTGAGCAAGAATTTGGATTTGGTATGCATCGGGATTTTTAGTTTCATGCATGTATATCCACATCCATGAATGTTTGTAGTAAAAGATAAAGCACATGACATAAATTGTAGAATAATATATTAGTTACCAAGAGCAAAACTTCTTTCATAATCTAGAAGTGAAACACTTACCAGGTGGCTTTAGCTACCTTGCGATTAATCTACAGAGGATTTCTATGCATTGGTTTATTGAATTGTAATCCTAGAGGATAACTTACACCAGTATGTTGCTAGGTCTGATGGAAACAAGAGGACGTTTTATTTAGTGGTGAGCAAAGAAAAGAGTTTATACACCGAAGATGGGGTTCAAACTTTAGTTTTAGACATAGTATTCCATTTTACAGAATAAAATTGCTTGAAATAGAAGCTGAGAGATTATTTCAGTTTTACATCACATCTGCGGGAGCAAGGATTGTTTTGGATATCCTGTACATGTAGATATAGCGCCTCATTTTGAAATGTTTCGAGATGCCGTCTATTTGAAAAGATTTAAAAAAAAAAAAAAATGGTTTGATGCTGATCTACATCATGAACAGTTTTGATGAACTGTTTTAACTATTTGGTTTGAAATTCTAATGTTTTTCTGATTTGTTCTTCCGCAGTTCGAATTGGTTTCCTATATCTCATGTCTGGTTTTGGTGGGAGTTTGCTTTCAGCTCTTTTTATTCAATATGGTATTTCTGTTGGTGCTTCTGGTGCACTTTTTGGTTTACTCGGAAGCATGCTTTCAGAGCTCATATCAAATTGGACAATGTATGTAAATAAGGTAAATAAAGTTTTTCTATACTCAATGATGCACCTCTTTATAGTATGTGCACGACCCCTTGATCTTACAGTTTCAGATTTCAATCCGCAGTTAGCAGCATTGCTTACTCTCCTTTTCATCATCATAATAAACTTAGCAGTGGGGATTCTACCACATGTGGACAACTTTGCTCATATTGGAGGATTTGTCTCCGGATTTCTTCTTGGATTTTTGTTTTTGATCCGCCCCCAGTTTAAATGGCTTACCCAACGGAATGCTTCCCCTGGACGTGTTACTACTCCAGTTAAATCTAAACACAAGACATATCAATATGTATTGTGGGTCCTCTCTTTGATACTATTGATTGTTGGGTAAGCTCCTCCTCAATCTCTGAAATTTAGTTGTTTGACTTCATGAACCTAATTGATTCCGTGCATGAGAATCCGGCAGCCACAGTTGACGTGTGCAATATTTTTTTTTTTTTTTAATCAAATCAGAGAACTGGATTTTGTGTAGATATGTAGATATCATGTGTCCTGTAATGTCTTCATTATTGTCATTGCGAATAGTCTCTGTATCTGCTTGTTTCTGATCATAATGGTTTGGAGAAGGCATTGTGTTATCACTATTCTGTGTAGTACTAATTGGTCACTTTTTTGATAGTGGCCTCTACTTTGTTGTTTTGCGTTGTATGTGTTGGCAGTACTTTGTTGTTTTGTTATTGGAAATAAAAGTTCATTGTCCTCGTATATGCGTAGTATCAGAATATGCAGGCATTTTCCAACAGTCGTCATGTTTTTGACAGGTATACTCTTGGCCTGGTTACTCTTTTTCGAGGGGTCAATCTAAACAATCACTGTTCCTGGTGTCATTATTTGAGCTGTGTCCCTACGTCAAAATGGAATTGCAAGTCACAAAATATCTATTGTTTGGTAACATGCTGTACTTCTTTTCTGTGTATATTAACTTCCGTCTTAATATTTGATAGATAGAAGTGCTTGCTTATTTATGCGATCATAGCTGCATTCAGTTGTTCTAGTTTGGCATGCCGTTTAATCTAATGTCTTAAAGAATCGTAATTTAAGAAATGACTCGTGAAATTTTGAGTCAGGAAATTGCTTCTTCAATGTACTTTGCTAGTACTATAAATTAGTTTTGTACTGACATATTGTTCTTTATATGCATATACGTGCCAATCTTGCAGTCGAGCCAGATAGGGAATCAGCTGAACTTAACGTGCGTAAGCAATGGCAGAAATGGAACATATTCGTTGTCGGATCCCAGCCCCTCCCGGACTCAGCAGCTATGTGCTGAGCTTTGCAGTTGACCATACATGTACAGATTTCAAAGGTGATTAGAGAGTGTTGATTGATATGCTTCATTCTTGTAGGAAGTATTCTTTCTCTTTCTTTTGTTTTTTGTTGGGTAAAATAGTCTTCTGTATTCACCAAGCAATGGTTCTTATTGTCATTATTCTTTTCATTCTTTTACTGCCTTTGTACCTCTTTTCTAGTACCCAGGACAGTTGAAACTCATACCGACAACTATGAAACTTACTCGCCATATAAAATTTACTTAAACGCACAATTTACTCACCATACCTAAGTTTTTTGAATGTGGGATGTTACGGATCCTCTCAGTTGAATCTTTGCACTCTACCTTCTTGTCTCTCTCTCTCTCTCATTCTGCAATGTTGCAAGATGATCGAACACATGTATACTTTCTAGTTCATCCTCCAGAGATGAACTTTGAAAAAAATCAACTAAATAAAAAAATCGTTTAACCATTAAATTAACATTGTTAGTATTAACTGAAAAACATAGTTCATTTATTTATTGGATAACAATTAGATGACAAAATAAGTATGAATTTCTTTGGTTTTTGGCGAAGCTGGACTTTAAAGGTTGACATAGAAATAGACACATTGGATTATTGTACAATATTAAGATAAGAAAAGGAAAGAAATTTCGATGACTGGCAACACCAGGCTTTACGGAGGTTGCGCCAATCTCCAAGTGCAAGTGCGAGTCCAATAAGGGAGGATCATTTCGAAACTTGACATTAATAATCCCCTTTAGTGTTTTGTCATATTTCTTTTTTTGTTCGTCAAGAAAGGAACGGAAAGAAATTTCGTTAAGTACATTAGCAAATTTCATATGCTACTCTGCTAAGAGCTACTGATGGGTTATTTGAGGCTAATTTGATTGGTGCTGGAGTTTTGGGGTTGTGTACAAGGGAGTTCTCGAATCTTGATGTTGATGATACAAACCAATTGCTTGCCGCCGTAAAGGTGTTTTAACTTGTTACGCCATGGAGCAGCAAAGACAAGGCTGGTCATGAGACTTTTGAGGCTCAAGAAGACTTAAAAAATACGTCCTAACTTCATATAAGAAGAATTATTTACTTTCACATATAAGATTCCGATAAAATTATGCTTTGAAATGTATTTCAAACTCAATAATTTAGATACGGAAAAACTAATTTATTTTGTATTGAGAGAAGGGAACCCAAAAACCTTGGGCTTACAAGTAGATAGATGATGAATTTTTTTTCCCTTCTGTTTAAAATTTTAAAGTGTTTTTATATAACTCGTGATGTGTTTTTTCTTATTTACTAACCTTATTAATATGATACTAAAAATAATCATATTTTCGAATCTTTAGTTGATATATATAGGCAATGAATGAGACATGCATCCATTAATTTCTTGAAGGCTAATCCATTAATTTCTTCTCATAATACACACGTGCAATTTCTATTTTTTTGCTAATATTGATTATTAGGTTCCAAGTTTGTCTCAATTTATTATTTTTTGTTAAGCTGAAAGTGTAAACATTTTGGTACTTACCAAGAAAAAAGCAATTAATTATTTGATGCCACTTACAAAACCTATTGGCATATATAGGCTTTGATTAAAAGGTTAAGTATTTACCAAAAGATTCCAGCTGCAAAATGCATGGACTATCTACAAAGTATTTGATAAATCCAAACTTTGATTCTTTCTCTTCCTCCGTTTCCTTGCACCCCAAGAAAAGAAAAGCAATTTAGTAAGCTCACATACACAGAACATATCTATTCTATCATACACATAAGTCAAACAAAAGCATCAGATCCAATAATAACACTAAACTGAAAACCCATTAACCAATTTATTTACATATTTTTGTGTAGATCACTACCTCTGTATTCTTAATTTATCAAATTGATTAAAATTACTAATTCTCTTATTTCTGACAATACCCCTCCCACTCCAGAATGATAAACAAAAAATTTCTCAATTTCTTATATCTCACAAAGAAAAGCACATGCATGTCCATTTCAGCTCTTAAAACCGAAAGAAAATATCAAGGTTTCTTAGTTTCTTACCCAAATCCACGAATTTGAACAATTTAATATCAAACCGTTCATTGTCGCTAGTTATACTAAAATATCAGGGGTTTTTGTTATTAATATCGAAAAAAACTCAATAGAGACCTCTCGAATCATTCATTGTGCATATTGATTTCATTTTAATATCGAAACCTTATAGGAATCTAATCTCATCAAAGCGTATTTCTGAAAAAATATATATTCCATAGCGACACTTAACTTCACATGATACACCAAAAAGGGTAAAAATACAGCAATGAAGCGACTTTTCATTCCCAATGGCCAATTTTATAGGATTCAAGCCATACATGGGAATAAAGAGGATTGAAGCTGTCAGGCATAAAACATGGTTACTGATTGATAGAAATGGCCAAAATATAATATAGATAAGAAGAAAGTCTACTCACTTTCTGAAAGTGACTTTCTGCGGTACTATGATGCATGGACACAGGGAAAGACCAATGTATCCCGTATCTGACACGTGGGGATACGGATACGTGGGGAGATACGTACGGATACGCGATCGATATGTATCTGAGTCAACAGATACGTTGTTGACTGATGGGATACGCGTATTTTAGTGTTGAGATACGAGTATTCTACTTTCGGATACGTTTCAAACTATAATCAGAGGATAATCACAGAAAAAAATCAAGATAATTACACTTAATCCGCACAGAATCGTGATAATTGACAGTTGATTGAGATTAGCTGAACCGAAACGATTCTGACCAAAAATCGAAACGATTTTGTGTATAAAATTGGGATCTACCTGTTTTTCCCCACTCGAACCTCAAAACCGTCATCGGCAATTGCTCCTGTCATCTCCGTTTGCAAATGCTGCATCGTATCTTATGCATCTGCTGGTGAGAGCTGGTAACTGGGTTTCGAATTCTATGTTTTCCTGAAGCTTTCTTTTTCTTTTTGTTAATAATGTTGATGCTTTTCTGCTCGGATGCCTCAAATTTACTTTTTTATTTTTTTGAAACCAAACGAAAAGCTTCTTTGCTTTTTTGTTTGTTTATTATAATAATATTATTATTAGTGGTCTAGAATAATTTAGATTATAAATGTCTAGAATAATATTATTGCTTTTCTTTTTCAATGCAGCTATTGTCGAAAGATTTTCAGAGCATCCTACTCTCGGGTCAATTTTCATTTGTTAAAAATATCTGAAAATAGGATCGTCTCTTGCAACAAGGTTAGTGATAAAGCTTTTGCAGAAATGAAAAAATTAGTTTGAGAATGAGGGATCCTTTCTTTTTATTTTTAAGTCGTTTGGATGGTTTTTTAGTTTTTCAAGTTTGAAGACTAATTTAGTTGTTTAGTGAATTATCTTTTTAAATTTTTAAAATTTATCGAAATAAATTTGAACTTGAATAATATATTTGAATGCTTATTTTATAATTTAAGAAAATTAGCCATCAGCAGCATTTCGGCCGGCCTCCTATTAATCTCAAATAAGAACAGTCCTTCATACAAATCTCGGTTAATTTGATTCTATAAAGCAAAATCCAGATAAGAGTTGCACATAAAAGCAAAAATTCATCGAATCCAAATCAGCAACGCACAAATCCAAGATCATAAAAAACTCAATTCTAAATAATATAAGAGATTTGATGGAAAAACCCCAGTTTTTTGTCCATCTTCTGGTACCTCTTGCAGTCGATCTTCAAGCCATCTCTAATGATGGTCAGAACCATCTGCAACTCTGGTTATCGCTGGAAGACTGGTCAGGATCGATCCGAGCTTTTCGAACTCTTCCTCGTCCTTCACTTCCTTGTGGTCATGAGGGTGGCGCCCTCGCCGTCGTTCACGATCATACCGGGCTTATAAAATGAGAAAATAGCAAAACAGAAAAGGATAATGGACCAAGCAAACCGGAAACTCACGGCTTGGCCCAGTTTTATTGGGCTGGTTTGGTTTCGGATTTGTTCTAATCATTAAATAAAGTTAGTAGATAAATTTTTTTATTAAAATTCAAAATTTTAAAATCTATTTTATTAATTTTCCTTTGCAAAACCGCTTTTTGGAAAGTCCAAATCCAGGCGAATTGCTTGCTGCCACTGTATAGATGCCAACAATGGCATGTATCAAGTAGCATGTGCAATTGTTGAAATTGAAGATAGAAGAACTTGGACTTGGTTTCTCGAGCTGTGAAGCACCTTATTCCAACTGCTGAACACATACATTGTGTCCGACACTTATATAACAATTTCAAGAAAGCACACGTTGGCATTGCATTGAAACAAATTCTTTGGCCAGCAGCTAGAGCAACCACCATTCCATGATTTAAACCAGTGATAACTAAGATGGAAGTTGAAGATGGATTGGCTATAAGTTGGTTTGATGACAAATCAGCATGTCGCTGAGCATATCTTATTTTAGGACATCATCTAAGCGTGATATCTTGTTGAATAATCTATGTGAGTCTTTTAATAGTGCAATATTGGGGTCAAGAGGTTGATTTAGCAAAACACACATGTACATGTAGAAGGTGGGATCTCACTGGAATTCCTTGTGCTCATGGAATTGCTGCAATCTATAGAAAGGACGACGATCCATACAAGTATGTTCATTCTTGTTACAAGAAAGCAGCATACTTGAGAGTACAGTACTTCTTATACCCATGCCATGTCTAGTCAAGAATTTTGGCCACCTACAAATCACCAGCCCGTTGCACCTCCAAAGTATCATAAGCAAGCTGGTAGGCCAAAGAAGGTCTCGCAAGAGAGCAATAAAAGAGTTGTGATGCATATAGATGCAGTTTGTAGATGCATATGCGTTACTTGAACACAACTATCCACATGAATACTCTCTAACACAAAATTTAAGGGTTTTACTAAAGAAAAGTAAAAACTTGTTAAAAGATCTTAAAATGACAAAAATAACCCTAAACACAAGCCATGTATCTGTCACATTTTTATATTTAAGTTTAAATTCTTCTCTCGTAAGTTATAGCTTATAATATTGTCTTAACAAAACTAAATATACTTATTTTTAGTGGGATATATTTTGCTTAAGTATGCATGTTTGCAAGATTAAATGAAAACCTCCAAAACGTATGGGGTTAAATTGAATTCTAACCACCACCTCCACCACCCTCATATAATTAGGGCAAAACGCGATTGATTTTAGAACTAGAATAAAGATTTTATGAAACATGTATAAATCGTTTTATTTAAAGTAATGGAAAAGATAATAACACTAGATTTAAAAATATTAATGATAGAATAAAATAAGGGAAGTGTTATTGGCACTCCAAAAATCTTATTCTACACTCTTCATAAGTGTATTTTTCTTTCCAAATATAGAAGGTTTGGAGGTGTAGAATGATATTTTTAGAATGCTAATAACAATACCCAATATAATAATAAAAAAAAAAAGAGAAAACAAAAGATGAGAGGTGGAGGAGGATCGGGAAGAAACGAAAAGAAGGGAAAGGAGTAGAAGGGGGGAAAGAAACTTCTCCTTCTTCCTCCTTCACTCACGGGATCCCTTTGAAACTATTTTCATCATAATTTCCTCATACGATAACGAAATCACATGAGGTCGGAAGCTATAGTTTCGTAGCGAGGCCGTCTTCAATGCTACCATACCCGCCCTTTGAAAACCATTGTATAAAGAAAACGAGGTCCAAACATATTGACGTGTTCCGGCGACTTTTCGCTGATTTGGGCAATCCCGCTGGAATCTGGCTCGACCCAAGTGAAAATAATGATTCTCCCCTCGTGGGGTCTCCTCTAGCGTAAGTATTTTCCCAAGGTTTTAACTTTTAGTTTTGGGGTCAATTCATGGTTTCGAATTCTAATTCGATATTTTGTATGCATATTTGAGATGATGCCTGTTGTATTGTTTAGGAGTTGAATCGGAACCGGGTAGTCATGATTGGTTGCATATATAGGGAAGAACATTGAAATCCTAACCTCAATTCTGTTCTCTTTAGAAATTTAAGGGTTGGGTTTGTGTTATAAACATTAATGTTATTCCAGATTATGCACTGAAAAGAACATTGCTGAAATGGCATTGCCAGATGCTGATGCTGAATATTTGATTGGACAATGCTATTATTAGAGTATTATATGACTCTTGTTTGGGCTGTGGATTTATTGGTGGTTCTTTATTTCATTATTTCAGCGGATGAAGAGCTTAAGACTGCTAGGAATTTACATTTTTATTTTCAGGCACTTGAATAAACAGTTTGGTTTTTCTATAATAATAGTTAAGGATCGTTGATATGGTTGGGCTAGTGTACTAGTTACGAATAATTATATGAATGTTATAGTTTAGGGATTTCTTGTTATTCTATGGCCTGAGAACTAGTTCCTTGGTTAAGATTAATGTATTATCAAACATTATACATATTCTCTAATTGAATACATTACTATGTTTATGAGTTCAAGATCAATTTATTATGGCTGGTATAGATATCAATAGTTGACAGATCCAATTTGGTGTGGTTTCTTTTCGATTAAGTATTTCGAATTTATACGTATCATGTTGTTTGCTTAAATTATACAATGGATGTCCTATTAAGTGTAAATGTCTATATGCATGTCTATATATATATATATGTCTCATATGCCTAGACAAGCTATACAAAGAAAGTATACCGTTTCTATTAGTTATTCTGATTGCATGTATGTAGTAATGACTTGCAGTGGTCATAGGAGTTTATTGAAATGGTGAACTACGAATGACTTGATCCCTTTACGGTACGTAGGCAGTCTAACGAGGAGGTTAGATGCAGCCATAAAGTATACTAAAATTACTACGCAATTCAATTCTTGATTTATGCTTTGTACATATCCCGGAGGCGGGGTATGTTAGATATACTTATACTTGGTGACGTCACGTGTTAATCCTGGACGTATGTCGGGATCGAGGTGTGACAACTCCTTTCAATCATTTTGTACCCCTGCATATTATTGTGATTCAATGAAGCTCCCCGTTAAATGAACTGCACCAAATAGGGGAGGACTTCGCCAAAAACCCCACCCACAACAAAAGTACAACTATAAGTAAAGCTTTATGAGGGGTCGCTCTAAAATTGATCTTAAAATTAACTAGTCCGTCGTTGGTTTGACAATGTTGCATTTCATATTATCTGACAATTAACATTATTTCGAATAAAACTTTTGTATAAATTATAAGTTCAAACAAAAGACACTATACAGCTTCTTGACTATTTTAGGTGTATATATACTCCATTGCTGAAAATTCTACTATGCTCATCATAATTCTTGCCAATCCACCAGGCAATTGGGTTAAATTGCCCTTGACCAAAAAAATGATGGTCCGTTGGTGCCAAATTGGGCAGGCAATTGGTGGGCTCCAAGAAGCTCGTTGAACTTCCTTTGTAGCCCGTTGGCAATAAGTAACGACGGGCCTGACGTCAAGTAACAGAAGGCTGACCTTAACCCCATGCACCAAAGTGAACCAAAATGCTCCAATTTGGGCGCCCCACAGCTGTTGGATTTGCAACAGTTTGTTGATCCGGACCATTACATTTCAAACGATAAAAGAAATTTAAAAGATGATGCTGTGCCACGTGGCATTTTGTGGCGTATTTGATATTAAAATTTTGAAAAATTCAACGGTCAGGATTAATCCCATGGTAAAAAATCCAAAAAAAATTTACAACAAAAAATATCTAAAAAACTTACAAAGTTCACACTTAAACAAAAATCTGAGCTGATATTACTAATAAATAATGACACGTGATGTGATGAAAGTGGTTGAAAATAGAAAAGTATCCTCTCCGGCTCCCTTTCACTTAATTCACCAAGTTCAAAGATCCGGGTCGTTGAAATTTGATCCAACGACTACAACCAGGATCCACTATAAAAACTATAATAGATTGGATCAAATTTCAAGGGCCGGATCCGAACTTGTGAATTTTGTGGAAGGGATCCGGAGTCCTTTCCGTTGAAAATCTCATCGCCTCTCCTTTCAGCTCTTCAAGGAAAACCCACTTCTTGGGCCGTTTTCAACCACATAAAGCTTCACTCTTTTGTTAGTTTCTATGTTTAAAATTGTTGGGGTTTGCAGTTTTGGATTGAAATTTGTGTTTTGGGATTTGTTGGGTGCTCGCATGTGGAAATTTGGAAAATTTTGGTTGTGGATTGTGGGGAACTGACGCAGTGGCGGTCCCATTTCATGTAAGTTTCTTTTGTTTGTGTGTTTTTGGTGAAATAATGACGAGGAGGGTTGGATAGTTTGACTGGTTTTGTTTTTTTTTTTTTGTGAAATTAGAATGGGATCAATCAAGGGTGAGACTTTTTAGGTAAGAGTAATTGTGAAAGTTATGTTTTTACAAATTTTTTGACAAATTTTGAGACTTGGTGGATTTGGAATTTTGGTTATATTAGATATGTGTAAAGAAAATAGTTGAACTGCATGAAGCTTGAGGGGTAATGAGGGTTTTAGGTATTTAGTGACATTCAGGCCATGCTTGATGTCTATTTGATGTCGGCGTATCAGAAATGCTTGAGCAAAGAAGAAAGGTGCTCGAAGAGGTGCAGTAGTTAACTACTTGGTTTGATTAAATTGCTATGTTAATAAAAATGTCCCCTGTAGTATGTTATAGGGTTAAAGTTTTACATTAGTGTTCTTTAGCGACTTGGTTTCAAAATTTTCGTTTTCGTTTGACTTTCCTTGGTCTGTGAGGCCAATGGTAGAATGATCATGGAAATTGTTTTGTCTTAATATCTCTGGTAAGAGGGGGTGTGCATTCTTAAAGGACTTGTTTGTCACTCTTTTAAGCTGTTTAATGTGCTCATTTCAGTATGCATCATCCAAAGTCTATAACTGCTAAAAGTAGCACTACAAGGGCGAGGGAGCTGTCATCTGTTTGGAAATAAGAGCTATAGACATGCCCCATAAGGGTCAATAGGTCTCAGTTGCATATCTAACTTGTTTCTCATGTGTTTTCATCCTGAAGGTTAGAAAAGGTGGGTTCTCTAGATGCGCAGAGAGTGGTTCATCAACACCAAGGATGGCGGCTGATCTCATGTATGTGGTTACATGCTGGAGTTTTCCATGTGCTTGCCAATATGCTGAGTCTTGTATTCATTGGAATTCGGCTTGAGCAAGAATTTGGATTTGGTATGCATCTGGATTTTTAGCTTCATGTATGTTATCATGCATGTATGGCTACATCCATAAATGTTTGTAGTAAAAGATAAAGCACACGATATAAGTTGTAGAATAATAAATTAGTTACCAAGTGCAAAACTTTTTTCATAAATCTAGAAGAGAAACACTTTCCGGATGGCTTTAGCTACCTTGCGATTAATCTACAGAGGATTTCTATGCATTTGTGTATTGAATTGTAATCCTAGTGGTCATGTAGTGCTGGTTGCATTATAACTTACACCAGTATGTTGTTTGGTTTGATGGAAACAAGAGGACATTTTATTCAGCGGTGAGCAAAGAAAAGAGTTTATACACTGAAAATGGGGTTCAAACTTTAGTTTTAGACATAGTATTCCATTTTACAGAATAAAATTGCTTGAAATAGAAGCTGAGAGATTATTTCAGTTTCCATCACATCTGTGGGAACAACAGTTGTTTTAGATATCCTGTACATGTAGACATGGCGCCTCATTTTGAAATGTTTCAAGATGCCGTCTATTTGAAAAGATTGAAAAAATAATAGTTTGATGCGGATCTACATCATGTACAGTTGTTTTGATGAACTGTTTTAACTAATTGGTTTGAAATTCTAATGTTTTTCGAATTTGTTCTTCGGCAGTTTGAATTGGTTTCCTATATCTCATGTCTGGTTTTGGTGGGAGTTTGCTTTCAGCTCTTTTTATTCAATATGGTATTTCTGTTGGTGCTGCTGGTGCACTTTTTGGTTTACTAGGAAGCATGCTTTCAGAGCTCACATCAAATTGGACAATGTATGTAAATAAGGTAAATAAAATTCTGTATACTCAATGATGCACCTCTTTATAGTATGTGCACGACCCTTTGATCTTACAGTTTCAGATTTCGATCTGCAGTTAGCAGCATTGCTTACTCTCCTTTTCATCATCATAATAACTTAGCAGTGGGAATTCTACCACATGTGGACAACTTTGCTCATATTGGAGGATTTGTCTCCGGATTTCTTCTTGGATTTTTGTTTTTGATCCACCCCCAGTTTAAATGGCTTACCCAACAGAATGCTCCCCCTGGACGTGTTACTACTCCAGTTGAATCTAAATGCAAGACGTATCAATATGTATTGTGGGTCCTCTGTTTGATACTATTGATTGTTGGGTAAGCTCCTCTTCGATGTCTGATTCAACCGTTTGACTTCATGAACCTAATCGACTCCCTGCATGAAAATCTGGTAGCCACAGTTGATGTGTGATGCTCTGAATATGCTTGTTTCTCATCAGAATGGTTTGGAGAAGGCATTGTGTATCGCTATTCTCTTTGTAATACTAATTGATCACTTTGTTGATAGCGGCTTCTACTTTGCTGTTTTGGATTGCACGTGTTGGCAATACTTTGTTGTTTTGTTATTGGAAATAAAGGTTCATTTTCCTCGTATTTGTGTAGTATCAGTATATGCAGGCATTTTCTGACAGAATTCATGTTTTTGACAGGTATACTCTTGGCTTGGTAACTCTTTTTCGAGGGGTCAATCTAAACAACCACTGTTCCTAGTGTCATTACTTGAGCTGTGTCCCTACATCAAAATGGAATTGTAAGTCACAAAATATTTATTGTCTGATAATGTGCTGTACTTTTCTGCGCATATTAACTTCCACCTTAATATTTGATTGACAGAAGTGCTTGCTTATTAATATGATCATGGTTGCATTCAGTCGTTCTAGTTTGGCATGCTGTTTAGTCTAATGCCTTAAAGAAATCTAATTTAAGAAATGACTCGCGAAATTCTGTGTCAGGAAATTGCTTTTGCAACGTATTTTGTTAGTACTATAAATTGGTTTTGTACTGACATATTGTTCTTTATATGCATATATGCACCAATCTTGCAGTCGAGCCAGATAGGGAATCAGCTAAACTTAACGTGCGTAAGCAATGGTAGAAATGGAACATATTCATTGTCGGATCCCAGCCCCTCGTGGACTCAGCAGCTATATGCTGAGCTTTGCAGTTGAGCATGCATGTCAAAATTTCAGTATGTAACTGAAAAATATAGTTCATTTATTTATTGGATAACAATTAGACGACAAAACAAGTATGAATTACTTTGGTTTTTGGCGAAGTTGGACTGTAAAGTGAGGCGTTAATAACTGGATATGTCTACAGTGGTGGAATTCTCTTGCTAGAGACTTGAGCCCCCATGAAGTTTAAAAATTAAGAAAGCTTGATCTCACTAGTAAATGATACAATTTTTAGAAAGGTTGCATCCACAACAAGCTTTCTTGCAATGGTACCTTAGGGGAACTACGAGAAAATCAGCAATCTCAGTCCAGCCCCTCAAAAAACGTAGAGACTTCAAAATTTTCATTCATAGCTAGGGTCGCCTAGCAAGGTAACTTTCATATTAAGTGACACCAGCGTGATGTTTGATGTGACCAAAATAGAGGGTTCCATGTATTTGTTTTTTCATTTTGGATGGTTGCCAAATGTTTCGAGTTAGCTTCTGGAATCAAGGTGCTTTAATGGTCTTCATCCTTGGCGTACCGAAAGTGCCAGACAATAGGTGGTTGCCAAATGTTTCCAGTTAGCTTCTGGAATCACGGTGCTTTAATGGTCTTGGTCCTTGGCGTTCACCGAAAGTGCCAAACAACAGTTCCCAGTAGTGGAAGTAAGCTGTGGTGTAAAGTTCCCAGTAGTGAAGTCGTCTAAAAAAACAAGCCAAAGTGGTTGTCATTTACTTGGACTTATTCCTACTCATATTTGAATCTTCAAGAAGCAGAAACTGTGGTGTGAGTTCCTCCTATGATCCTATCCTTCTATAAATTTCCTTATCATGTAACAATTGGAACTCACCAAATTCGCAACTCAACACCCATCTCTCTATTTCTTTCTGCTTCTCTCTCTACTTATATAGTTAACCAGATCAGGAATGGGGGTTTTGGTTGTGAAATTGATCTTAATATACTTGCTTTTCAGTGCAGTGTTCGATTGCTGTTGGAGCTCCCTGCAATCAGGACTCGGAGGGAATGCGACGGATAGGCTGGCGCTGCTTGCCATCAAAGCTCAAATAAAGCAAGATCTCCATAATTACAACGTGATGAGCTCCTGGAACGATTCCACGCACTTTTGCATGTGGCATGGTGTGACGTGCAGTCGGCGACATCGCCAAAGGGTCACTAACCTGGACCTGCAATCTCAAAATCTGGTAGGCAAACTATCCCCAAACATTGGAAATCTCAGTTTTCTAAGGGAGCTGTCGCTGCAAAACAACAGCTTCAGTCATGAAATTCCTCCACAAATTGGGAATTTGCGTAGGTTGCAGGTATTACGATTAGACGTTAACTCGTTTAGTGGCAGTATTCCACACAATATATCATATTGCTTCAACCTTATCCATGTGAATTTCTCTCTCAACAAGTTGGTGGGTAAAATTCCTTCAGAAATTGGATTGCTGTTGAAACTGCAAAAATTTTCATTACAGTTTAATAATGTAACGGGACAGGTCCCTCCTTCCTTAGGGAACCTTTCGTCTCTCCATGGATTAAGTCTTACTAGTAATAACTTGATGGGAAACATCCCTAGTTCTCTTGGCCAATTGAAAAAATTAACCTTCTTGGGATTGGGGTTAAATCAGTTGTCTGGTAGCATCCCTTCCTCCATTTATAACCTCTCTTCTCTTGTTACATTTTACATAGGAGGTAACCAAATTCAAGGGAGTATTCCATCAGATATTGGCAAAAATCTTCCTAATCTCGGAGTCTTCAACGCCCCCTCAAACCAACTTACTGGGTCCATTCCTCCCTCAATATCCAATGTCACAAGTGTGTGGAAATTTGTAGTTGGGAATAACAACCTAATCGGACAGGTGCCGAATCTCCAAAAGCTTCACAACCTCCGGCAGTTCAACATTGAATTTAATAATATTGGAAGCGGTAAAGATGATGACTTAAGTTTTCTCTCGGACTTGACCAATGCCACCCAGTTACAAACGCTGATTATTAGCAACAACAATTTTGGAGGGACATTGCCCATGTCAATATCCAATCTCTCAACCAAACTCGAACGGTTTTGGGCTCACTCTAACCAAATATATGGAAGCATCCCATGTGGGATAGGGAACCTGGTGAGCTTGGAATCGTTGGGTTTGGGGAATAATAGCTTCACAGGTAACATCCCCTCTGACATGGGTAAGCTTTCAAACCTTGGAATATTATATATTTCTAATAACAAATTATCAGGAAATATTCCGTCTTCCCTAATAAATTTAACCAAGTTATTCCATCTTGGGTTGGATATAAATCATCTTGAGGGCAGCATTCCTTCAAGCCTAGGGGAATGCCATGGGTTGCAATCGTTAAATCTTTCTTATAACCTTCTTAATGGCACAATACCCAAACAAGTTTTTAGACTCCCCTCCTTATCGATTTATTTGGACTTGTCTAATAACCTCTTCACAGGTTCCCTTCCCTCGGAGGTTGGGAATTTTTTCAGTCTAAGTGAACTGGACGTTTCTGATAACATGTTATCTGGAGAACTCCCCAGTAGCCTTGGTGGTTGTGAGAGTTTAGAAGTCCTGCATTTGCAAGGAAACTTCTTCAACGGGTCCATTCCTTTGTCTATGAGTTCAGTGAGAGGGATTCAAGATCTAGACCTTTCTCGCAATAATTTATCAGGTGAAATTCCAAAATTTTTAGAAGGCTTTAGAATCTTGAACAATCTGAACTTATCATTCAATCAATTTTGGGGAGTGGTACCAACTGGAGGTGTTTTCAAAAATGCGAGTGCTATCTCAGTTGTTGGCAACACTAATCTGTGCAGCCCTGTTGCTAATTTAAAGCTTCCCAAGTGCAAGTCTAAAGAGACCAAGAAACGAAGATTGTCTCATAGCTTGAAACAAATACTCCCTTTAGTATTTGGACTTACTCTTCTAGGAATAGCCATGGTGTTCTCCTATTTCTTTCTTTGTTTGTCGAGGAAAAAAAGGAAAGAAATTTCATTGAGCACTTTGGGGAACACTATTTTGCAAGTGTCATATGCTACTCTACTCAAAGCTACTGACGGGTTCTCAGAGGCTAATTTAATTGGTGCTGGTAGTTTTGGGTCTGTGTACAAGGGAGTTCTTGATGATGATGATAAAGCTCAACTTGTTGCCGTGAAGGTGTTTAACTTGTTACGCCTTGGAGCTTCGAGGAGTTTCATAGCCGAATGTGAAGCTTTGAGAAATATGAGGCATCGAAATCTCGTCAAGATTATAACTGTGTGTTCAAGTGTTGATTTTCATGGTAATGATTTCAAGGCTCTAGTTTATGAGTTCATGGACAACGGGAGCTTAGAGGAGTGGCTGCATCCACCTACTAGATCTGAAGAGTTAAGAGATCATGTACCCAAGAATTTAAGTCTTCTTCAGAGGCTAGAAATTGCCATTGGTGTTTCTTGTGCACTGGATTATCTTCATAATCATTGTGAAACGCCAATAGTTCATTGTGATCTCAAGCCAAGCAACGTTCTCTTGGACAACGAATTGACTGGCCATGTTTCTGACTTTGGATTAGCAAGGTTTCTCTCACAAGTAACGAGTAATGTTTCAACAATTCAAAGTCAGACAAGTTCCGTTGGAATAAGAGGAACGGTTGGTTATGCAGCTCCTGGTATGTGTGTATATATATATATATATATATATATATATGTTAGATATATACTTCATTACATTTCCTTTTTTATTTTGGAGTATTTAATTTACAAAATTCAAACTGAACTATTTATACACAAATGTGATGTTCGAATTGTAGAGTATGGCATGGGGGGTGAGGTGTCAACGAATGGTGATGTCTACAGCTTTGGCATTCTCTTGTTGGAGATGTTTACAGGGAAGAGACCCACTAACAACATGTTTGGTGATAGCTTGAACCTTCATAATTTTGTCAAGATGGCTCTCCCCGGGCGAGTTACTGAGATTGCAGACGCACCACTTCTTCAAGGAGGCACGAACGAGAATCCCAATCAATGCAGTGCGAGAATTCATAAAGTTGAGGTGTGCTTGAGTTCAATATTTAGAATCGGAATTGCTTGTTCTGCTGAATCCGCAACAGATCGACTAAAGAATATCAATGATGCTGCATCTGAACTTCATTCCATTAGGAATACTTTTCTTGGATAGAAACTCTTTTTTATGTTTGTGATAGAGAAATTTCGTGTACTGTCTGTGAAGTCTAGCTTTTATGTTACCACAATAGATGTGGAAGTTTGCAATGTAAATAATCACCAATGAGGTTCATTGTGTGAAGATTGTATTACTACTTCTTGTACTTGGTATTTTTGTGTAATATTCTCATCGATTAAAATCTAGTTCGTGCCACGAAATTGTTGAATATTCACATTGATAGATTCCAAATTTTTAAAAGATTCATAACCTCAAGACCTTCAACATTCAACAAAATCATCTTGGAAGCTGTAAAGATGGTGAGTTGAGTTTCCTATCAGACATGGCCTATGCATTTAATGGGGAGACGTCAACTTGTCTTTGGACCTAGTGCTGGGCTTCAGGCGAGTCCTCCTTTAGTTGGCATCTTTGGGCTTTCTTTACACTTGCAGCCCAATGTTCAAATATTAACCCAAACAAATGGTTCTTAGAGGAGGATGACGATCGCAAACTCTCCGTCAGCAAAGACGACCCGAGTGACGAGACCCAATCGCCTCTTTGGGTCAACTTGCTTCTGGCCTTGGCTTGCACTAGAATCTTGAAACAGGCTTTCCAAAATATGGGTTTTGGGGTCATGTCGTTTCTTGGATTTGGTCTTCTCGGGCACGAACCTGGGTAGAAAAGCTGTCACGGACTCTGAGAAGGAATCGTCGATGCTATGAATGGGGATAAGGGTTTCGGTAGATCATATGAGGTTAGATAGGGTTGACAATTAAAGGGAGAGAGCTTTTTTTTCATTAGTTTTAATCTTGTTCAGACCACAACAAAAATCCTTAATTTATTATTTAATTAATTTCTTAATTAATGTGGCAAATTTTGTGGAGCAACACTACATCGTCACTTAATTTAACTTTTGACAGAAAAATTAACAAAAATATGAAAGTAAGAGAAATATTAAAGTTAAGTACGAAAATGACACAAAATGTAAGTAAAGTGGGGATTTTGAAAAACTTAAGGATTGGGCGCATTCATATGCAATGCAATATGCAGCTAGTGGGGCTTGGATTGTATTTGCATAACCCCATGAAATCTTTTGTCTGGTCCCCTTAAAGAATGTCCTCGAATCACAGCCGCTGATCACGCCTCAACTTCATAATGACTCAAAGTAGCTCATCCATTGAGTCCAGATCTAAACAAACCCCTTTTACTTTTCTTGTGAACCTAATTAAGGATTCAAAGGTTCTATTTTCCCCAAATTGCCCTTTGGCCCGATTATCCCTACGTCTTCATTTGTGATCTCACATTACCTCACAAATGAGGTATACTTGCTTACCAGTTACCACACCAATTTTTTTTTTAACAAACAATATCATCTACGCTAAGGGGAGGAGGTAGGCTTAGCCTCACAATGGATTAGCAATAATTTGATTCAAACTTGTCTTTGGTGATAATTGAACCTCAGACATCTCAATGAAGAGAAATATCATTATATTGTAGCACTAAGTGACTCTTAAGTTTCTGTTACGTTAGATGATTCAAAGATGATAATCACCCACCATTGGGTAGCCTAGTGGCTATGGCGAACTTGTGCTTGTGTTCCCAAAGGTCGTAGGTTTGACTCCTCCTGATATGAGATCAAGTTTTTAACAAGGAGTCTGTTGCTGCCCTAGTAAACGTCAAGCAGCAGTGTTCCAAGTAGAGTCGTATACGCAAAACTTTCTCATCAAACTGGGATCTGAAAAAATAAAAAAATGACAGCTTTCAAAGAAAGAATCAAACCGTGTTTATATGAGTATTTTCTATTTGGTGGTATATTTACTTCCTTTTGTGTTTATATGAGTATTTTCTCATCAAACTGGGATCATGTGCATGGTGAGAATGTGCCAAAGCAAAATGAGTTTTAGGTGTGGAAGAAGGAAAATCGAACAACCCTAAAAAAAATTTCGAAAAAACAAAAGAGAAAATTTAAATTATAAATTAATGCTTTTTACATTCATTTTTATTTTTCCTGCACTTTTTTAATTTTTGTTTGTCAATATAGAAAGAATTGAGTGTAATACTGAACCTCCCACCAATTAGGAAATGGGAGAATAATATAGGAAGGTTCCACACTTATGTGTGCAAACCAGCTAGATTAGCGGGTGACATGCACGCGCTAAAGATTGAGAATGGGAACTGAATTGAATACTTAATTTTTAGTTCACACAGGAGGACAATTTTTCCATAGATAATGAGTTAATCAGCAAATTCCAAAATATGCCCCCTAATGACTTCTCAAATTGGATATGCACAAGGCTGATGATAGGGTTGAGTGAGATTTCTTATTGGCTGTGATGGAGAAAATGGGGTTCGATAGTAGGTGGAGAAGCTTGATCTTTGGCTGCATATCTTCGGTGAATTTTGCTATCCTCCTAAATGGACAACCCGGACCCAAATTTGCTCATTCACTTAGGCTTAGGTAGGGAGACCCTTTATCCCCTTATCTTTTCCTTTTGGTTAGTGAAGTTCTATCACTTCTTATTCAAAAGGAATGTGAGTGGAACTGGATCAAGAGAGTACAAATGAGCCCCTCGGGCCCGACTATATCCCACATACTTTTTGCAGATGATACACTTATCTTCCTAAAGGCAGATGAGGAGAATTGCCGGCACTTAATTAAGGTGATTGATGACTATTGTTTTGCTTCGGGGCAACAAGTCAATAAGTCGAAGTCAAGTGTTTTCTTCGGTGCCAATGTGCCTGAGACATTCTCTCAACAGTTGGCGGATATTCTCGGTATGGTAAGAGTTAGGGATCCGGGCTTATACTTAGGAGTACCTGCTATTTAGGGTCGATCGAAGAAATGTGGGCTTGCCTATGTTAAAGGAATGTTATTGGGAAAGCTTCAAGGTTGGAAGAAATCAACTCTCTCACAAGCGAGGCGTGAGGTCCTCATAAAGGCAGTGGTGCAAGCAATTCCCGCATACCCAATGAACCTTTTTAAGTTTCCCATGTCGCTATGCAACGAATTGGATGCCATGATTTCAAAATTCTTGTGGGGACAGAAGGATGGGGAGCACCGAATTCATTGGTATCACGAGAGAAATTGGGTCGGTCAAAGAAGGAGGGAGGCTAAGGATTGAGGATCTTTGAGATGTTCAACGATGCCCTTCTGGCAAAGCAGTGTTGGCATCTGATAATGGAGCCAAATTCCTTGTGGGCGTTGGTGCTTAAGGCCTGGTACTTTCCTAATTGCTATTTCTTCGATGCAAAGAGGGGTGGGAGAGTTACTTGGGCTTGGTGAAGCCTTCTAGTTGGAAGAGATATTCTAAGTAGGGGTGCACACTGGCAGATTATGAATGGTAATAATGTGAGGGTCTGGATTGACAGATGGCTCCCGGTTATTCCCTTGGGCAAACCTTCACCCATGGGCACGGTGCAGGTTTTAAAGAACCTAATGGTTAGCTCGTTAATTTGCCCGATGAACGGGGAATGGGATATTGATTTTTTGAAACCATTTATGGTGGAGGAGAAGTTCGATGCAATCTTGGAGACTCACATCGGAGAACCGACTTTAAGGGATAGGTTAGTGTGGCCCTTTGAAAAGAAATGGATGTTTTCGGTTAAATCCGGATATCATTGGGCTCATACATAAATCCAATCAAAAAGGAGCCTCAACCTTCACATGTCGGCTACCATTCCAGGAGCACGCTGGAAGTGTGTTTGGCAGTTGGAGGTTCCACCAAAGCTCAGCTGCTTCATGTGGAAGACCATTCATATTACGCTTGCAACAATGGCTAATTTATACCAAAGACGTTCGTCCCTATCTCCTTTCTGCCCTATCTGTGAGTCGCAGGAAGAGTCAATCGAACACCTTTTCCTTGAATGCCCGTGGGTGGAAGAGGTTTGGTTCGGGGGAAGGTTAAATTTAAGGATGAATGGGATGGAGATTTCAAGCTGGGCAAACTGGCTGCTACAAATGCATGAGTCAGCCAATGGTTCGAATGAGGTGAGGAATAATATGCTTTCATAAATTGCCTTTACATGTTGGCATATATGGAAATCAAGGTGTAATTTTCAGTTAAACCAACAACAAATATACCCAACATAGGTTATTGCTGCTATCTCTCACTCTGCTTCAACCTTCAGGGAGGCCAAATCATTTTCGCCCACTACACTTGTACCCAGTTCTTAGGAAACAAGTATTGGTGTTAGATGGTCTCCACCGAGTCCGGGATTCGTAAAGATAAATGTGGATGCTAGCTGGGTTGCAAGGGATGGGCTGGGGTTTACGGGAAAAGTGGCACGGGATGATGAGGGCAAGTTCTTGGCGGCATGCAGGTATAGCGTGAAGGCAACTAGCATTGCAATGGTGGGGGCGATGGCTGAAGGAAGATTTGTGAAAAACATGTTCATTTAAGCAACATCAATAGCATGCAATTAACAATTAAAGGCGGAATCATGCTTGTATGCACTTAAAAACAAAACATTTACCCATGAAATTCAAAGCCTAGTAGATAGGTGAACCAAGACTCAACTCAAAACAAAGTAAGTTGAGAAATCAATACCTTTGTAGATTCCTCTTTGCATAAGCAAAGGCTAATCACCCAAAGAGAGGGCCTTCATTCCTTGCATCTTAGATCCATGGATTTGGATGGATGAAAAAGTTTCTCCAAGTTCCCAAAATTGAGAACCTCTAATGATTCATCACCAAGGCATAATGAAGAAGAAATGAGTGACCTTGGAGGAGTTTGATTGCTAGATGATCCCTCCAAGGTGGCCTAAATTTTAGAGAGAAAGGAGAGCTTGTGTTCTCATCCTTTCCCCAAAAATTACCATATGTAAATTTTAGGCTATAAAGTCCTTTATATAGTCCCTTCAAATAAGTGACCTAATGGACCAAAAGCCCTATTCTTCTAACATGGCAAGCCTATAGGGTTTATTGGGCTTTCAAGCCCTTTGTTTATTCAAGTTGTCATACAACTTGAGTTAATGGGCTTGACATTCAAATCCCATTGGGCCTTACGACCCAAAACTAACCCGAGGTCTTTAACGAACTTATTCGTTTGATTAATTAACATATTAATTAATCCTAGCCTTAGATAAATAATTAAACCATTTAATTATTCTTACTCATCTCCGTTGTTTCTTCAAACTCTACCTTACTCGGTGAACGATCCATTAGGTTCCTTTTAGCGAGGCAGTGGGCGATTAAAACTCTTTCTAA